TCTTTGAACAATCTAACTAAATAGAAAGGGGACACTTTGCAAAATCAATCACTGACAAATAAGAGAGCATGACACTGTATGTTTTCTAGAGCTGATATAGGGCAATTTGTTCAGCAGAGTGATGTAAGCTTCGTTATGATTGCATCATCCATGACTTCTAGGAATAACATGATACAATTCATATCATGTATGATGCAATACCAGCTTCAGATTGCATCATTCATTGTTTTGCCTAAAAAGCAAGTACTGTCCAAACCCAGTCATAGATTTATTCATAGATCCAGTCAAAGATGTATTTTAGTCATTTCTGGTTTAAATTGAGATCCCTTCCCTTTATAACTCACTTATCCTCCGCCATTCCCAAGTCAAGGGTCGTATATACTGACCCAATAGCATATCTTGAAAACTAGAGCCAAGCAACAATTTTAAGCATCATTTTCGTTCTCAGTGACCCAGAATTAGTAAAGTTTGACTACATTTATTTCAGAAGCGTTTTGGCTGTAGAGCAGTGTTATCAGGCTAAGTTGCTAGGCAGAGAGAGTTTCAGGAATTATTGTAGACTAGTAGCATTATGCCAAGTCTGCCGCCTAATATTCCGAGCTAATATTAGTAATAATCCAGCCTTTTGCTAAGTGAACAATTTATTCTGGAGGGGCCCTTGGCTAATGCCTCTTGATTTGAATCAAAATGGTAAGGGGACGTTAAGGGGTTGATGAGTACCAGAAAATAATCATCTCTGATTTGAAATAACCCTACTTTAATAGTGCCTCACTGAGGAAAAAAAAAATCACTGTCCTAGATTTCATAAGGTGGGTAGAAGGCCAAACAGATTGTTTTGTTCATTTTTCCACCAGTAAAAGTGAGACACGTTTTATACAGAAAGTGAATACAAAAATTCACAGTCACTTCAGCTGTTCTCACACTTCGGTAATTTTCCTTAAATAGCTGGGTACTCTGGTGATAGACAATCCCAGAACTTTTTGCTATTTTTTGCGGAAAAGCAAAGGAAAGAAAACAGATTTAAGCTTTTGTTTACTGAGCACAAAAATCATGTAAAATACGGTCTACCTGCTTGATTCATGATAGAGGATACAGGATAAATGATACACACGGGTAGTTAATTCCAAATTCTAAACCGGAATGCAAGTTTCCTGGTGATTACTTTTAAGCCTACTAAGTGTAACAGCAATCAACGTACAGCAACACGAAATGATGAAATTTACTGGGTGTTTACCAAGGAAAACGTATGTAGTCACTATGCAAGTAAAAAGTATCTACATTAGATGTGTGCATTGTAACAACCTGAAACATCAATCTTCTGATTGTTTCTTACAGAGAAAATAAAATCAGGTGCCTCCTGCCAGTTCTGTTTGTGTTTGTGCTCTGAGATACAGTTACCATAGAAACTAATTGTGGATACAATTTCACAAATTTGGCTCCACGTAGCTGATGAGTAGACCCCTGTGAAACCCTTTTTCATTTTATAGTTTTTCCA